CGGGTTGCCGACCCCTGGTATAGCCTATAAAATGGCATGTTTTCTCCAGGACCAGAGAGGACACAAACTCAATACATCTCTTTTATTGTGAGGTAATAATTTCTCAGAGTTTTGCGGTTGCGGGCGGTAATGGTCAGAAATTCAGCGGGAGCGGGCAGGAGCGGGATATTTAATAAAGATAAGAAAGTGACACAACATGAAAATGTACTCTGTTGTGAACACAGATGACTTAATGAGGCGAGGAGGAAGCTCCCTCTTGCTGAGGAGCAGACAGACCTCCAGTCTGAGGCGGAAGTCATTGAACGGCCTCAAAGAAGAATTAAGTAAGAATTTTGTGAACTTTCCATTCCTCCACCTCTTGGGCCTGTGTTGAATTTGCACTCACTAACTTAAAATAAATGTTTAATTCAGAATACATTTTGTATTGTGTGTTCATTTCCAAAGGCCAAGTAGATATGTCCAGGACCAGGCCTCATCAGAGGATGAAGCCCAGACCTCTAGAAGAGGGCTTCCCCCACCTCCAGCCATCCCCCCGGTGAGGAGAAGGTTCATCCTCCCCAATAACCTGTACCTCTGCCTGACCTGACCAATTACCAGGTAATGGAAATCTCAACAAATACCACAGTAACATGTTGGGTTTGAGTGTAGCTGATCATGTAAGTGTGGTGTTTCAAATGTGACGTTAGGAAATTTACAAAGGTTAATGAGGCAGTTACATGAAGAAAAACACTTCCGGAGCCATTACATCACTGTTGAGGTCAATAATTGCATTTTGTAAACTGTTGTTCTTCTTCCTCTCCCTCTTCTACAAACTCTTCCAGCATGTCATGACCCTGGGGACATCATTGCGGCAGGCCATTGACCTGCAGGGTCACCAGTGAACCCAGGGGGTTCCAGTTCCAACTCCCTCTTCATCTGGTGGGATGATGAAGGAGGAACCGGCTCTCCAGGTGCCTAGAGTTTGCCCTAACTCCTCTCCAGGGCAGTGGCAGTAGAGGGATGACACGACATGAAAGGTTATTATGGTTTACACTCACCCAGTCCTCACATGCCAGTTACAGTATACGAACACACATGATCCACACATACATACTAATATAAGATGGTTTATAAAGTTAAACACACACAAACACACTCACACGCACACACACACACACACACGTAAATGCAAAAAAAATGCTTAAACTATGTTGTTTCTTTGTGTCTGAAATGCTTTTCAGCTCTCCTGCATGAAGTCCTGGTGAAACAGGAAATAATCCTTCAGCAGCAGCGCGGCCTCACCAAAATGGTGCAGGACCTTTTTGTTGCTGTTGCTGCTCTTCAGGGCCTGACCACAGGGGGAAGTGTGGAGACCAGGCAGCACAGCATCTTCCAATTGGCAGATGTTCAGGCCCTGATGGCCCTGGAGAGGGAGCTTGGAATCAGTCCAACATTGGCCCATGAATTGGTGAGCTTTTTTCTGTTCTTTACAACAAAGTTTTGGACAATGCATTTTGGCATGCACATCCAATTTATGTGTTGTTCAATATCTTAAAGTGGTAGATATGCCAAAGGAGTTAAAGGACTGCTTGTGCAGCCAACGAGCTCCACCCAATTATTTGCGCCCCCCACGTTTCAGGTCTCTGTCCTTCATCAGGCAACCACGAAACGCCAAATAAATAAATAGTGGAGCACAATGGCTATCCAGGCTTTTCTTTAAGTTTGTATAATATTTATTTGAAAATTCAATGAAAATCAATCTTTGTTTGTTTGAAAAATTAATGAAGATCAATTTTTCTAATTTTAGGTTTCAACACTTGGCCTTGCGGGGGGGTCCACAGTAAAGGACACGGTGTGGCGGGTCCTCAAAGGGGCCATGACTAGGGCTGTCGCGGTGATTCAGGGTGGCTTAATATTGCGGTGTGCGATATTATTGCAGCATTTTTTTTATTGCATTACTATCTAAACATAATGCTTACACATTTAAAAAAGGTTAAAAATTGCCGTGCCTTCTTTTATAACACTTTACTGAATGCAGATCAAAGGGCAGTAACAACACAGATCGCAGTAACGTTTGTTTCTCCGACAGTCAGAGTCCGACTGAACTTAAAAACAACAAAATTCAGGAGAAGGTCAAACTTTTAAATGCAAATTTGGCTGCAGCATCTAACAAATAAGAAACAAGTCCCCATTTTGTTCAGTTGTTTAAAATCAAGCATAAAAAATTACATGTACCGCCCGGGCGCGGGGCACTATCATTTCACTTTCACTTTCACACACACGAATGACGGTGATTTATAGCTCGGTCACGTTCTTGTTACCCACAAGGAAAACCAGCATGTTAACCATATACGGTTTGAAAGAGGATCTGAGAGGGGTGGCAACATTTCCAGCAACACTGAAACCCCTCTCGGATGGTGCGCTCGTTGCACTAACACACACGTACTTGCGTGCGACTGGCGAGCAAAGGGAATCTCTCCGGGTTGTTGCTCCACCATGTCAGGGGGGTTTCTTTAGGGTGGATGCATTCCTCCTGCAGGTAGCGAGTGAGCTCCAGCTCAGCTCAAACTCTCTTCGGGACGGTTGCAGAAGCAGTGCTTGTCCGGGACTTCAGCAGGTCTCCGAGCGTTTATTTATTTATTTATTTGCCGCTGGTGGCAGCTCTGTCTCGGCCAAGGACTCTGGCTGCGCAGCAGCTGACGTACTGAAAACCAAAGTGCTCCCAAAGGAGCGAAGTAACGTTTCGTTTTGATACCAGTGCAGCCATCCTTCTCAACATGCATCATTGAGTTGAATCACGTTCAGTAATCGCGGTGGCCCATGATGCAGTGCGGTGGGTTTCTTCATATTGCAATATTTCATTTTTGCGGTTACCGTGACAGCCCTAGCCACGACTGATGCCCTCACCAAGGGAATTACTTGGCGAGGGCAAAATGGGAAGGTGGCCTTTGAGAGGCTCCACCTAAAAGGCATTGTAACTGGTAAGCTTAATCACAACAGTAACACGACTGTTCTATCACACAGCTGATAAAATCATAGTTTAGGATAAAATTATTAGCCACCCATGACTATCACATTTCTTTTCAAAGTCAAAATACTTATAGTCTTAACAACTTGTTTGCAAAATGGCACGCAGTGCGCCTGTGAATGTCACAAGCCTCGAAATTGTAACGCCACGCAATCACTGGCTTCAAGACAGCTATTGCCACTTTGCCCACAATGTGACGCGTTCTTCAGGGTCAACTCTCGCTCGTGAAATTCTTGTTTGGTTTTAGTGTCAGGAAAGAACTGCTGGTTTGTGTTTGGTAAAGTAAACTGTGGCAGTGTAAGTACTAAGTGACTATGATGATTTAATGTTGTAACTTTGGCTGTCACTGTAACTCCCTCCAAGTTGAAAACGGACACAAGGCGTTCTTGAATTTTGACTGGCATTTATTGCACACAGGTGCCACCAACGGTGCCGTGAGAACTGTACAAATGACATAGAATAATCAATTTCCACAATAAATCGTTCTCATAGAGAATAAACAATGAAACACTAATACACAAGATAAAACACTCACAATTTACATTTACAAATTACCCGTGACCACCATAGACTCGACAGTTCTGTCACAAACAAACATCTTATTTTCCCATCACGACATAAACACACACATTGCATACCTCATTGGCAGGGGTTAATAAAAAAACACATCTTGCAGTGTCACTCCTTTCCACAGCTGGAAAACATCGTTGCATGCGTCTGCATAGCTCTACCAACGAATGATAGCGGTTAGCATGCTGCCGCCTATTAAGTGTGGCGTGCAACTGAAAATATTGTCAACCCCGAAACAACAAACTAAACATTGGTTCCACCCTGGAAATATTCTGTAAACCATTTAAATGTGTGCTTTTAAACCCCATAACGTATACATTATATTAAAAATAAAGTATTCTTAGCTTATTTATCGTAACTTGAACCATAAATTATCTCAAAACTGCATGACTGTGGCTGACGGCAGCCACAGTCACTTTCAACCCCAGATGACGAGATACATCCATTAACTAATGCAAAACTGACTTTTTAACTAGCCAGTTACGTAGCCCACCACAGGTCTCTTTTGCATGGACTGTTGCGTCGTCCTTTTTTAAGTCTTACTCCATGTGTATGCCTTTATTTTCAGCTGCAGTGAGAAGGAATCCGGTCCGTGTGGCGTCTACGGAGGCAGAAATTATAAATACAATTAAAAAATGGTTCTACTGGGCCGGGAATAGGGACGGAGGGCGCAAAAGGAGATTGCCCGCCCAACCAACCCCTCAACCAGCCCAGGACTCAGTCCAGGACTGACTTAAAAAAAATTAATTAAAATTTTACTCTTGTTTGGTTTTATGTTTATGCACCTCGTACACACAGTAACCTAGGCTATTTCACAAGGCTATAACTGAGGCACAAAATCTGAATCTTCTGTAGGACATTTTATAGTCTATTAAAATGTTAAATTAAATTTAGCATAAGGTTCAGAATAAAATACAATCTTTTGGTAAACGTTTGGCTAATTATGGATAAGTTATGGCTCATATTTGGCTTTATTATGGGATTTTGGGATGGTTATGGCTATGCGTTGGAAAGCCACATTTTATTTTGGGTAATCTTTTGGCAAACTTATGGTTACTCTTTAATATGCTTTGGCCATTTTGGGGTGTTTTGGGGTTATTTTGGTATAGTTAGGGTTGTGCTTTGGAATTCCACAGTTTATTTTGGAAAAATTCTGGCAACCTTTTGACAATCCATAATTCTATTTTGGCGTGCCTAATTTGGGCCATATTTGGCCCATCATTCCATCCAAAAGAGTACCAAGACTGGCTTGCCAAACTAGTGCCAACAACAATTTGCTATCTGGGAATCTTGTTGATTGGCAGATCCCACCCAGATCAGAGCGTTAAAGTCACCAGCAGCCACAGTCATGACCTCCTGCTCCAGAAATGTGACACTTTGACAGGGGTGAACCGAGGACGCGTGCCGTGCTCAACGAGCCAATTAAGTCCGGGGGGGCAGAACCGCACGAGCCTGTACGCGCGCGCTCACAGGCGCTGGAAAAGTGAAAGTGGTCGACAGCGTCACTCAGAGCTCCTGCGGCTGAAGCTGAGAGTAGGCCTGTCCGACTGTCCCTGTCCTCATGTCTCTGCTGCCCACCGCCTCACGTCTGTTCAAGAGCGCCCTGAAGACCCGACTGGTTCCGGTGGCCAATGTGACGTTCAAACCGGCCAAAGAGGTCCTCTCTGCAGGGGTAAGCGTACGGGCACCTGTCTGATTTAATCAGCGCGAGGATTTTTCTCATTCCTGCAGAATAGTTTAAGCTGCTGCGCCTCAGGTCCAACTCATCCTGTAGGAAACTGCTTTACTAAACTTCGTCAGTTTATTTTCTTTCCTGCATTGTCGCCTTATTTTATTACAAATTCATATGCAGTGAAAGCGCGTGTGTTGGCACGCGCCTAGTTAATATGACCTTTAGATAGGTCGCACTTGTGTCAGTTTTGCGCCATTCTTCCGCGCGAACGCATCACGTACACACTTCTGCTGGTTAAGCTGCACCTGTTTTTATGGCACCGGAAACGTTCACCCAGAACTTTTCGGAACCAGCGGTGACCTTCAGACGTTGAAACCAGTAGTTTGGTTTTATTTTTATGGTGCTGACTTCTCTCAGCCTGGTTTAGTTCAGCTCAGCCTGATGAATGAATGAATGTGAACTGGTGAACACAATCCTGTGTTTCTATTGACCCTCTCTCTTCCCCAGGAGCAGGTCATAGCCATGACTACCCTGTTTGTGACCATCCTGGGTCCTTCTGGCTGGATATTGGCCCACCTGGAGGACTACAAGCACAAGAAGGAGTAGAAGTGAAGCTCCAGGAGGATGGAGTTTAATCCATCAGCCTGGCCTGGATCTGGAGAGTTTGCTCTCCTCCGGTCCTCCATATCTGCTTGAGTTCCTGAATGCAGAGGTCCACCAGCTAATAAAACATAAAAACATGGTTTCATTCTGACTGATGGTCTCATTTCAGTTATGGCCCGCGTGAGAGGAAACATCTAACCAAATGTTATCTGTTGAGCACTTTTCATTCACAGCTGTGTTTGCCACAAAGAGCTTTAAAATAAAACTAACTGCAACAATCAGACCAGAACAGGGATGTCTTAAAAGGAAACGTTTAGGTGTAAAAGTTCTCAACAAAGATTCAGTTTAAAATTAAATCAAACGTTTACAAGTGAAGTGGTTAAAATGATGGTTTTATGTTGCCCCAGCTGTGGCTGCAGAGCACAGAGAACTGAAGACACTTCAAAGCTGAACATTACATTTAATGAATAAATTCTGCATCACTTGAGCTTCTAGGCTCCTACACCTGCGCAGGGTCAAAGTTCAAGTCCTGCTGGGATGACATACAGTGCAAAAATGTCCTCTGAATAGACTTTAATGCAACATTTTTACTGAAAGACTAAAGTTACGTTTTTTAAATGAACGGCTCTAAATGGGTCTCCTATGTTTGTCTCAACCAATGACTGTATCCCCCACCCCCACGATTGTAAACCTGACCTATTAAACCTGTAATGCTATTCTGACCAGGCTGTAAACGTGCTTATTCCTGCTGTGAAGTTGGCATTTTTACCATGGGAGTCAAAAGGAACTTGCTCTGTTTGGATCCTGCCCCTAGTGGTTGAGGTGAGAGCTGCGATCTGATGCATTCTAGTTTACTGGTCAAATTTGAGTCAAGGTATGTTTGACTGAAACCTTTTTTAATGATTATTCCTGATTATAAACAGCCACTCTGAGTTTTCATGCAGGCTGAACATGAAGATAGTCTCCTACACCTATCTCCTGCATTAGCTTCTGATAGAAAACAGACGGTGAAACTCTAGGATTAGAAAAGCCTGACAGATCTACGTCACTTAGCATTCATGGACTCACAACGGGGAAGGCTGTTTTAATTTCCAGGAATAAGCAGCGGACATCTCTTAGTTTAAGCTAACCATTATTCACTTCATGACAGAAACTGCTGCAGGCTTGTGTTATTTGTGGAGATGCAACCATCATGTTTCAAGTCAGTAGTAGAGAGGCATCGCTGTTATCCAATCCAGGGCGAGATGTCCAAATAACAGGAAATAAGACTCCAGATTATGTTGTTTGAAGCTCAGCTGTGACATCACAGACTTGGTCTGCTGAGACGGAGGTTTGTGGCTTTTTGTGCCCTGAGGTCCGTCTGGAAGGCATTCATCCCTTCTAGAGACCACTGCAAATGTATTGATTGAATGAGTAATCCACTACTTTAACAATCCCTTGTTAAAAGGAACTGCAAGGATGTAGGATTTTCAGTGGTTGGTCTGAGATAGAGGTTCCTTACGTGTGAGGATCACTAGTTGGGAGCACTTCAGATCCTTACTGAAGATGCATGGATTTGAATGCAGGTTAAATTTAGCCTCTCATTAGTTTTTACCCCTATCTCTTTGTGTTTGTTCATTATCTTGTTTTATCCATGACTGTGTTTGTAGTTTACATTTAATTCTACTGTTTTACCTCCTTTTACTGACTAGTGACTGTGTAGTAGGTTACAGCAGTATAGAAACAAGCACAACCCTTTTCAGTATTGTTTGCTGTAGTTAATCAGATCTTATGAGTGGTGGTCTGTCTGCCTGTTCACATAGGCAGTGAAACCTTTTGGTCCTGTTTACCAGGAAATTAAATAGAAGCAACACAAAACTAAGAAAAAGACTAATAGTTTAGATTGGACTTAAAGTGGGAGTCAAGGCATGGGTGGAGACTTAGTTCCACCAGACCTCCTGTTAGAAAAATACCTGGAAAAAAGGTGTTGCCTGGAGAACTGTGAGAGCGGCACTGAGACAATAGCCGTGTTCGAGATGAGCCAGTTCTGCACAGATTCAATCACCGGTGATCGGCACGCAGTGCATGCCGGTTAGATTTGTGTCCGACTTGACGCCGACTTGCTCTGACGTCATGCATACGTAGGCAACGATAACCTCGTGAGATCAAGGCGGCCGCAGACTTTGGAGCCAGGCGCTGCAGTTGCTCTCCACCGGCTGCAAAACCTAGAGGATGACGGGAAACACCTGGCTCTCACCTGATCTAAGATCTGATTGGTTCATATTTTGATCCAAACATCCGGTGGTGAACATGAAATGTTAGTTGGTCACATGGTTTTTATATATTGTCTGGTTTCATTTAAAAAGCACTGAAAGGAAGGTTTTGCATTAGAAAATGTCGACTTATGTATATGAAATTTAGCTAATAATATCAATAAATTAATCAAATAAAATTCAAACCATGCAACATTCTCAAAATTCGAAAGCTGTCAAAACCATAAACTTATGTTCCCTGTTCAATTTCATGTGATTCTCTGTTAGACTGTTTTGTTTTCCCATAGAAACCCCCTGACATTGTGCTTGCTATTTCTTTGTAGTTGTGTTATGTGCTTTGTCAACAAAGCGTATTCCAGGAGAAAAAAAAATGTTAGTTGGTCACATCATGTATTCTGTAAATCATGATACGTTGATGATGACAACTATATAGGCCATAAAGAGAAATGTGTTTTGTGTTATTTTGTCACGTTTCCTATGAGCACACTAAACCTACAGCTGATAACCTTTACTTATTATTACAGTCATGTTTTCATATCGAATATATGATATCCACAAGCACGTGAGGATCATGCGCCCTGGCTACTTGGCCAAGGGGATGTCCCTTTGGCTGACTGGTTAGAGCGTATGACTCTTGCCCGGGAGCCTGGGGATTGAATCCTGCCTGGGCCCTCGTTTATCCACCTTGCTACAGTTTTATTTCTCGTTTTACGTGATTATATGAAATTACTGGCTTAGCATGTTTTATATGATTATATTTTAGCACAGTTTCATTGTTTAATAATATAATTTTACTGTCCATATGAATTTATTTATTACTTATTTTCTTACTTTTGTCATTGATATTAGCTCTTTATTTTCATATTTTTACTCATTTTAATCAAGTTCTTTTCTCTGTAGGGGCCCTCTGCCCCGGGGGCGGTGGGCAACTGTTGCTTCCTGGGCGCTCTATAGGTAGTGTTTAAGTGGAGGTGGGGGTCTATGCTCCCCCTCCTCTGAGCGCCCTGACTTAGTTGCTGTGGAAGACCTGATGCTGCCGGGGCAGATGGCTCCTCTGATGGCATTTCCTTGCCTTACCTTACTTGGCTCATCTGGACTCAGCCGAATATAAATTTTTACTGGTGTGTGTGTGTGTGTGTGTGTGTGTGTGTGTGTGTGTGTGTGTGTGCATACTGTATGTCTGTTAATGTTTTTAAACTGTTATGGGAATTTGGGGTCATTTTAATTCTGTAAAGCACTTTGAGCAGCACTTTGCTTGAAAAGTGCTTTATAAATAAAATCTGATTGATTAATTGACATCTACCACCTGGTGGCGGATTAGTAGTATCACACAAAACATAAGGCCAAAAATGTACTGAGATTTTCTAATGTTTGGATTTAAATTGTTTAATATTAAATTGTTCACTTAGTAAATCTAACTTTGGTTCTAAACAGTTAATAATGTTTGATTTTAAAACATAACTGTGGCTTATAGTAGGTGCTATCTAACAGGGGCAGACTTAGGATTGGGTTGGCATGAGCCGGGGTGAGTACTCCTCGCACTAAGCCATCTTTGAGGGTGTGTTTGCAGGAGAGGGGGCTACAGCTGCACCTGGTTAGCAATCAGCGGGTCTACTACTTAAGGTGGATGGAGAACACAGCTCAACGCCGGATGATTGCCACTGTTTGGTAGTTTCCAGCCCTCGTCTCGATGTCAGGATTTTTGGTAACTCGTATGTTTTTGGACTCGTGTGATTTTGTGCATTTGCTCACCTGCCTCAGGTCTCGACACATCAGGATTCAACACCACCACTCCATAGGACTCCGGTATCACTCTGCCACGTTCATCCATCCATCCTGACTGACCCGCTATCTCCCTACCCCCCCCCCCCCCCCCCCCACACACACACACACACTTCCTGGATACACCCCGGCTCATTACCTTCCCCTCTGCCCCAATCCCACACCACCCAGTGTAACGTGATGGAGGTGCTACTCCACCGAAGGTTATTTACCCTCTCTACAGATGCCTCTGACACAGAACTAATCTGCATGAGACTGCCTCAAGGTCATGCATTTGCTTCTAAACTGCTTCTTTTCCAGCCCAAGAGAAGAATGAAGACAAAAGACTCTTTCCTTTTAATAAATCAAAGAACTCTATTTTTAATAAAGCTAATCAAACAAAGTGTTAGTCAATAATATAATGTTGACCAATCTGTGAAATGACAATGTTATGATTAGTATGCTTTAATAAGTAATATGACTTTAATCTAGCTGCACTAGACATGCTGATGACACGTAAGGTAAATGCACGACACTTGCTTTTACTCATCCAATCAGAACCTTCCTTTCTGAAGTGTGGCATAGTCTCTGTGGTGTGTATAAATCTGCCAACTTTTATTCGACCAGAAATCAAAACATCCACATTAATAAGACCAGTCCCACGCCATCTTAGGTCAGTTCTCAACAGTTTACTGGAGTTCACTGCAGTTCACCACATGCTAAGAGGAGTATCGGACCAGCCACCCGGACTTCCTTTTCAAGCAAAGAACCAACAAGCTGGATAAAATCTGTTGCACTATACCAACCAAGCAACGGTTCCTTTCAGAATAAAAGCTGAACTCACTGACCCTCCGGGTCCATCTGATGCTGTGAACCAACTGTCGCTTTTTACCTGGAGACAATCCAAAGAATAGTCTGTCGTACTGCTGACGCTGTTTCATCGGCTCCGGTACCGAAAGGGGGGTTCAAGGACCTGGCAGTCTGGATCTGTACGGAGGTCTCATCCTAAGGGTATGTGTGACGACAAACGACAAAATGGCATCAAATGTGTTTATGAAACTCCGATCATAGCTTAAGAACAAAACATCACAACATCATTCAGACTTGCTTCTCCGGATACGAGAGTTCTGATGATAAC